TACTCAAACAAAAATATTATTCTCCAATCTTGTTGCATTTGGGGTACGCGTTTGAATATCCAGCTCGACTCCCTGGATCGATACGATAGTCCTCATTGAAGAATCGTTGTTTTCTCGCGAAATAAGGACGATCGAAGAAACGCGTGTTACCTCGGGATTCTTGCCTCGCCTTGTTCGCGCCTGCTCGATACGGTTGTGCAAACACTTTGCTCGACAATCTTCAACCAGGGTGCAAACACTTGTTACTGTCGTTGTTGTCGTCATCTAGACGGTCTCCCTTCGTCAGACGATAAGTAGCTCTCTCATCCGCCTCATTAAATCTGACGTGAGGGCAGGAGGTAAATGTTACGGAAACATAGAGCGGTACTTTTCTCAACCTTCTCCAAATCCAACCGTCAAACCTTCGCGAACAAATCTTCTCGTGCAACGAACGGATGTTCCATCCGACCGATCGAGTGAAATCGATATTTTTCGATATTTCCCCACTCACCTTGAATCCTGGATCCTGAATTCGTATCGATCATCGTGGAATAGAATCAGAAGTTGAAGAAAGACACAATATCACGCTTTGGAACTCGCGAGTGCGCCTGCGTGTAGGTAGCAAGGCAGAGAAGAGGCTCGTCCTTCTTGATTTTCGCGCCAACCACGCTGCCGGTATTGATTTTAATGGATGCTGCAAGCTCTTTCGGTGTCTGCATGTGGGAGTTTGCACACCGCCTGCAGCTGCGTAAGATTTCAACGAGATCTCCTGTTCCTCCCTCTTCTCCACGCTCTTCACGCCCTCTCCTCGTCGCTCGATGCAGAACGGCCGAGAAGGAGAAACGAGAAAACGAGAAAGAGATTGAAGAAGGCGAAATATCGTGCGTCCTGTTCCATTGCCGACCCATTCACTAGAAATCTCCGCTCTCTGGAGAGCAGCAGCTTGATGAGCGATGAAAAAAAGAGCACACACGTACACATACACGCGCGCATGCACGCACGCACTGTCGAATCGAGGCTTAATGATCGCGCGAACTTCCATGAATCAGGTCAAAAAGCATAATTCTGCGTGCTCTATTATTTACACGACGCAGCCGGGCTCGACCACCTCCCCATTCATCTGTAGTTCGAAAGATTGATCGATCAGGCCTCG